TGTTTGGGTTTGTATTTGTGTTTTTGGTTGGTTTTGCGTTTGGATTTGGTTTGTTTTCGTTTGCTTTTTCGTTTTTTTTTTTTTTTTTTTTTTTTTTTTTGGTATTGGTGTTTGTGGTTGGGTTTGTTGTTAGGTTTTTGTTTTCGTTTGCTTTTTTGTTTGTTTTTTCTTTGTGTTTGTATTGGTGTTTGTGGTTGTGGTTGGGTTTGTTGTTAGGTTTTTGTTTTCGTTTGTATTTGTAATTGTGTTAGCGTTATGTTTGCGTTTTGTTGTTTTGGTTGGTTGTGGTTTGGGTGGGCAATGCCGGATTTATGATGATTACTAAACACACAGGTAATGGTCTTTAACAGAAAGGTTTTTCACAAAAGCCAGAGCAGGGCCTGGCCGGGACGGCTAGTCTAATATATAAAGCTCAATTCTGTAACGCATATGTTTGTCGTTGGCATTTCTACGGATTTAAGTGTTAGATCAATTATCGTGCGCGTTTGTCTAAATTTATGAGTTAAAAAATTACTATTAAAAGTGTTGGGAAATCATTTTCATTTTTCAAATTATAGTAATAATTGTCGGCATGTTCATTAAACACAAGTTTTAAAAAAAATATCATCTTTTACAAAAATTCTAATTATGTTTTTATTTAGTCCTATAGCGCTTACTTCCCTTTGATAAATTAGGCAAAACACAATTACTTCCCTTTATGAAACCTTTGCATTAGTTGAAAAGCATTTACTTTTTAATTACTTTGTTTTGGTGTTGGGAAAAAAATAATTACATAATTAGCGGGGATTGATCAAGTGCAAATGTTTTAGGTATTTTACGGATAAGCTTGGAGTATTATAATTGTTCATTAAATTGAAACAGGCGCGTTCGTTTAAGTGAGTGCAAAAACTATGAATAAGTTGGGGTACTATAGTCGTTTATTAAGCTAAAACAGGCGATTCTGCCCCGGGCGTTTATGTTCGCGTTAGTGTTTTCTTTGTGTTTAGGTGGGTTTGCGTTAGTGGTTGCGTTTTGATTTGGTTCGTTTTTGTTCTTTCTTTTTTCGTTTTTGTTTTTTTTTTGTTTGGGTTTGTATTTGTGTTTTTGGTTGGTTTTGCGTTTGGATTTGGTTTGTTTTCGTTTGCTTTTTCGTTGTTTTTTTTTGGTATTGGTGTTTGTGGTTGGGTTTGTTGTTAGGTTTTTGTTTTCGTTTGTTTTTTCTTTGTGTTTGTATTGGTGTTTGTGGTTGTGGTTGGGTTTGTTGTTAGGTTTTTGTTTTCGTTTGTATTTCTAATTCTGTTAGCGTTATGTTTGCGTTTTGTTGTTTTGGTTGGTTGTGGTTTGGGTGGGCAATGCCGGGTTTATGATGATTACTAAACACACAGGTAATGGTCTTTAACGGAAAGGTTTTTCACAGAAGCCAGAGCAGGGCCTGGCCGGGACGGCTAGTCTAATATATAAAGCTCAGTTCTGTAACGTGTGGCAAAAAAAAAGTTTGTCGTTGACACTTCTACGGATTTAAGTGTTAGATTTTTTATCGTGCTCAAAGTCTAAATTGACGAGTCGAAAAATTACCATTGAAAGTCTTTAAAAACAATTTTCATTCTATTTACTTGGAAGAATAATTTTCAATTATGAACGCGACATAAAATTTTTAAAAAGTGTATCGACGTTTATAAAATTTCTAAAATTGTGTCGGAAATGTATTGACTGCAAAGTTACTTCCCTTTAATGAAAAATAAATCCTTAAGAAGAGAGAATTAACATTTTATTACTTTGTTTTTGGTGTTAAGAAAAAAAAAAATAATTACACAATTAGCGGGGATTGATTAAGTGCAATGTCGTTAGGTATTTTTAACACTGCCTTTTATTTATTCTATACACTGAACATACTGTTCAATAATTATTATTTTTTTTTAAAATCAATAACATTTAATAAGCCAGGTCCTACAAATCATATACGTTTATTTCTTTCCATTTACGGATAAGCTTGGAGTATTATCATTTTTGTTCACTAAATTGAAACAGGCGCGTCCGCCGGCGCCCCTGCACGGTTTGATTTGGCACCCTGGGCTATCATGTGAGCGCTATGCTGCATAATTTTGTTTTAAACAGTGCGATAGACTATGGATAAGAAAGGTTACTATAGTCTTTAAGTGAATCAAATCCGGGCGTCCTCCGGCACCCCGACAGGGTGCTATTTGGCGCCCCGGGCCTTCCGGTGTACGCTATGGTATCTACGTTCGCGTGAGTTCAAAAGACTATAAATAAGTTATGCACTATAGGCGTTTACTAAGTTCAATCAGGCGGTGACGTCATGGTGCGTCCTCTGGCGCCCAGACAGGGTGCTTTTTGGGGTCCCGGGCCTCCCGTGTTCGGTTTCGCGCCTACGTTCATTAAAGTGAGTGCAAAAGACTATGAATAAGTTGGGGTACTATAGTCGTTTATTAAGTTGAAGTAGGCGATTCAGCCCCGTGAGCACTTTGCGTTTATATTCGCGTTAGTGTTTTCTTTGTGTTTAGGTTGGGTTTGCGTTAGTGGTTGCGTTTTGATTTGGTTCGTTTTTGTTCTTTCTTTTTTCGTTTTCGTTTGTGTTTTATTTTCATTGGGTTTGTGTTTGTATTTGTGTTTGAGGTTGGTTTTGCGTTTGGATTTGGTTTGTTTTCGTTTGTTTTTTCTTTTGTGTTTTTTTTCTTTGGGTTTGTGGTTGGTTTTGCGTTTGTATTTGGTTTGTTTTCGTTTGCTTTTTCGTTTGTTTTTTTCTTTGGGTTTGTGTTTGTGGTTGGTTTTGTGTTTGGATTTGGTTTGTTTTCGTTTGCTTTTTTCTTTGTGTTCGTATTGGTGTTTGTGGTTGTGGTTGGTTTGTTGTAAGTTTTTGTTTTCGATTGTATTTGTAATTGTGTTAGCGTTATGTTTGTGTTTTGTTGTTTTGGTTTTGGTTGGTTGTGGTTTGGGTGGGCAATGCCGGGTTTATGATGATTACTAAACACAAAGGTGATGGTCTTTAACAGAAGGGTTTTTCACAGAAGCCAGAGCAGGGCCTGGCCGGGACGGCTAGTTCTAATATATAAAGCTCAGTTCTGTAACGTGTGGCAAAAAAAAGTTTGTCGTTGACAGTTCTATGGATTTAAGTGTTAGATTTTTTATCGTGCTCATATTCTAAATTTACGAGTCAAAAAATTACCATTGAAAGTCTTTAAAAACAATTTTCACTCTATTTACTTAGAAGAATAATTTTCAATTATGAACGCGACATAAAATTTTTAAAAAGTGTATCGACGTTTAAAAAATTTCTAAAATTGTGTCGGAAATGTATTGACTGCACAGTTACTTCCCTTTAATAAAAAAAATTCTTAAGAAGAAAGAATTTACATTTTATTACTTTGTTTTTGGTGTTAAGAAAAAAAAAATAATTACATAATTAGCGGGGATTGATTAAGTGCAATGTCGTTAGGTATTTTTAACACTGCCTTTTATTTATTCTATACACTGAACATACTGTTAAATAATTTTTTATTTTTTTTAAATCAATAACATTTAATAAGCCAGGTCCTACAAATCCTATATGTTTATTTCTTTCCATTTACGGATAAGCTTGGAGTATTATCATTTTTGTTCACTAAATTGAAACAGGCGCGTCCGCCGGCGCCCTTGCACGGTTCGATTTGGCACCCTGGGCTATCATGTGAGCGCTATGCTGCATAATTTTGTTTTGAACAGTGCGATAGACAATGGATAAGAAAGGTTACTATAGTCTTTAAGTGAATCAAATCCGGGCGTCCTCCGGCACCCCGACAGGGTGCTATTTGGCGCCCCGGGCCTTCCGGTGTACGCTATGGTATCTACGTTCGCGTGAGTTCAAAAGACTATGAATAAGTTATGTACTATAGTCGTTTACTAAGTTCAATCAGGCGGTGACGTCATGGTGCGTCCTCTGGCGCCCAGACAGGGTGCTATTTGGGGTCCCGGGCCTCCCGTGTTCGGTTTCGCGCCTACGTTCATTAAAGTGAGTGCAAAAGACTATGAATAAGTTGGGGTACTATAGTCGTTTATTAAGCTGAAACAGGCGATTCTGCCCCGGGCTAGACTCTGAGCACTGTGCGTTTATGTTCGCGTTAGTGTTTTCTTTGTGTTTAGGTTGGGTTTGCGTTAGTGGTTGCGTTTTGATTTGGTTCGTTTTTGTTCTTTCTTTTTTCGTTTTCGTTTGTGTTTTATTTTCTTTGCGTTTGTGTTTGTATTTGTGTTTGTGGTTGGTTTTGCGTTTGTATTTGGTTTGTTTTCGTTTGTTTTTTCGTTTGTGTTTTTTTCTTTTGGTTTGTGGTTGGTTTTGCATTTGCATTTGGATTTGGTTTGTTTTCGTTTGCTTTTTCGTTTGTTTTTTTCTTTGTGTTCGTATTGGTGTTTGTGGTTGTGGTTGGGTTAGTTGTTAGGTTTTTCTTTTCGTTTGTATTTGTAATTGTGTTAGCGTTATGTTTGCGTTTTGTTGTTTTGGTTTTGGTTTGGGTGTGCAATGCCGGGTTTATGATGATTACTAAACACACAGGTAATGGTCTTTAACAGAAAGGTTTTTCACAGAAGCCAGAGCAGGGCCTGGCCGGGACGGCTAGTTTATTATAAATACAATTACATGGTGAAAATTCTCAACTTTCTTTGTTTACATATAATCCAAAACACATATTGGCACTGAAAAAAAATAAAAAAATAAAAAAGGAAAAAGAAATGATTTTTTTACAAACTAAATATATGAGTAACACCTCTTTTTAGAGAATGTTTGTTAAAACATAAGCTGTGATGTCTATTTTAATTTTTTTTTTTATTAATATAACATGTTTAGCAAAACCATGACTTCAGTAATTAATTTAAAGTCAGTGTTACATACAATTGTTATTTATCACCACCCAGCATAAATTCAATATGATGTATTGTAACTATTACCCACCTTCCACCCCTGTTTATGTTATATAATATTTACACGATTTAATTAAATTGGTAACACGAGCTTATATTTCCTTACGTTTCAGTACTGCACAGCATCGGAGGTGAGCGACAAATCCCTGTATCCGACTTTCGCTAGAACCAAACCTACGGATTCACAGATCTCCGAGACCGTGGTATCGATTCTACAGCACTTCAAGTGGAATCGAGTAACGTTTATTTATAACAATAACACGGAGTACACGCCCACGGCTGAAACGATACTAGAGGTCAGTATGTAATCGGCTGTGTCCTTTAGAGTTGCGGGTGTTGTTTTTTAACACGGTTTTAGAGTTCTGATTGGGATGTAAGGAAGCAGAGGAAGGGAGGGGGAGGGGGTTGTTATAGTCAGTTACGTTTTATGAGTTGTTATTGAGATTTGTTTCAAGGAAGGTGAGGGGGGGGGGGGGGTATTTTGTAATGATCAGTTTTTGGCTAAGTTGTTGTGTTGATTGGTTTGTGATTGTTGTTTTTTAGGGTCATGGGGTGTGGTAAACATAGTAAATATGAATATATGCGTGGGGATAGTAAAGTATGTAAAGTGGGGAGTGGTATAATTCAGTTGTCTGGGTCTGCGGGGTTATGTTTAATGGTCGGCGTGGTCGGGTCGATTAGGCTCATGGTTGCTGAACCGATGAGTCCCGAGTTTCAAAACCTCGGACAGATGAGGCTCGTTAGCTGGGGACAGCCACTCATCTAGGAAAGACCTCTCCAAAATAAAACAACTGCTGCCTTGTAGTTTGTTCTTGGTTGGAAAAGGCTATGGAAGCAAATCCAAAAAGAAAAGTAGGCTGAAATTGGAGTCAATGGCCTCAATGGCGCATAACGAGTTGACACGTGTATTTATTTGTGTTGGGGGAATCTCTTCCAACACTAAAAATAAGAACGAAGACGGAGAAGGTAATTTTATTGTGGGTGTGACATCGTCAGTTTTAATAGTAGGTTTATTTATAGTAACTAGACTATAAAATTTAAATGGTGCGATTTGTTTGGTTATTTATAAGATCAGGTTTGCTTGCTGCGAAGAGTAACATCTTTATAGAAAAAAATCATTCAAATCGTTTTCACTTTTTAATATTTGCTTTTCAATTAAAAAAAAATAATTATTTAAAATATATTATTATAATTTTATTTAAAAATTGGGGATTTACACATTAGGCCTACACGTTTTCCATTAATTTGATCGGGCTGTACACATATACACCACCCTAATAGTTGTCGAACCTTACCATGTTCATCCCAAATAGTCCATTAAAACTTAATCATTTCAACGTTAAATCGGTTGCGAGGACATATTTATTTTTGTATTCAGAAAGCCAGGCATCACTTTAGCACTGCCATTATCCGAATCGGTTTCAATTCTCGGCAAAGATTGATTCCTTTTGTTTTATTTTTAACCCGTCCAATTTTTGGAAAAGAATAATTTTCTGTTTGAAAAAGATTCCTCTTTAAAAGGCAAAGTCCCCCAAAAGATTGAGCCGACCTTAATCTAAATATAATCTGCAGGGAGATAATCACAGCAATTTGTGTCACGAGAGGGTTCGGGTTAAAAATAATCAACATTTTCTATTTTCAAACAATTTACAAAGTTGTAACGAACGTCCCCATTGGTTGTTTGTCAGGGGCCACAGGTAAAACGTGTTATTATTGGATTAGTCTATCAGCCAATCAAAAGGTCTCGCTACCCGTGTCTGTAATTATTATAATTACAGTAACGGTTTTCACGTGACCACGTGGCCTTTTTGTGACGTCTGTTACGGATCTGCCGTTTCCGGAATAAACAGACTTTGTAGATAACAGAAGAAACCACTGTAAAGATTAAAGGCGGTTACTGCGGTCTACTTTACTTTCATCTTTTAAGAGGGAATAATTTCAAATTTCGATTTTTAACTGAACATGTGATGAAAGCTAACAAACGATTACATTTTCGGATAAAAATAAAGGTTTTGATATGTATAGACAATTCTCAGTTCTTCGTGAAAAATAAATCTAAAATACAATTTGACGTTAGCCAACCTTTACTTTCTACCACTGCGGTAGTAGTACTATAACTAACACATAGAGCATACCAATTATGTATTTTTTCTTACCCTGTTTTTAGTTAGTACACAATAATACTTTTTAAAGATTTTTCAAGACACGAAAAGTTTTCTAAAAAAACTTGATATAGGCCTACTTTATAGTGACAAATTTAGTTTATTATATAGAACAGTAATGTGCTGCGGTGGTCACTTAGTTATTAGACGAATTATTTTCCAGTCTGGTTTACAGACCTGATCCCCCTATTAGCTTTTAAGTCCACACTATATTTTAATTTATCGAGGACAGAAAAAAACACGAACCTTTAGAATGTTTGGGCTTATCAAATGATACGTTTCTTTAACTTAACTTTCCAACAGATGCATTTCATGTTAACTACCAATTTCGAGATTTTAAAAATTTCGGTTTAACTAATCTTTGTTGTGATTGATTACACTAAAATTGTCATTTTTCAAGTTGTAAGCTCGTACTGTACATAATCATTGCTCAAAATACACTCAATCTGTTTATTAATAGAGGATAAATAGTTTCTTGACATTGAAATATTTTCCAACTATTTGTTTTAGATATTTCGATGTTTGGAAATGTTTGTAATTACTTGGACATAGAATCATCTTTCAGAATAATCACCATTTAGCTTGTGATTTTAACCAGGACAGCGCTTATCATATTTCTCTTGCTGATATGTCAAACCAAATAATGGATGTTAATCCATGACCTTTATTGTAACACAAAGATGGGAAAATTGCTTTCACCTTTTTGTCTTCCAGCAAACACGGCGCTTTATTTGTTATGATGTGGAACCAAGACAAAAGTCTACGTGATTGTCTAGAACCAGCCTACAGAACAAACAATATCTTCATCTATATAATTGCCCATCTGCTTTACATATCTTATCCCAATAAATCCCTGCTCTAAAATCCCAACTATTGTATGTTAATACAACTAGTCTCCAAAAGTTTTGTTTCATTATACAATAACATTCCCAAACACTTAGTCTGACCCTGCACATAATCTCCCCAAAACGTTGTATTAAAATGCACTAAATGTTCAAATACTTTGTCTTATCCTGCACTCTATGTACCAAACACAAGTCACAAACACTTTGTTTTAACTTGTACTCTAGGGGTTCGGCGTGGTCGAGTCGGTAAAGCTCATGGTTGCTAAACCGAAAAGTCTCGAGTTCGAACCCTCGGGCAGATGAGGCTCGTTAGCCGGGGACAGCTACTCTTCTAGGAGAGACAACTCCAAAATCAAACAACTGCTGCCTTGTAGTTTGTTCTTGGTTGGACAAAGGCTATGGAAGCAAATCCAAAAAGAAAAGCAGGCTGAAATCGGAGTCAATGGCCTCAATGGCGCATAACCAGTTGACACGTAACGCTTAATTGTGTTGAAGGCGTGGTCGAGTCGGCAAAAAGCTCATGGTTGATTATTCGAACAAAGTCTCTCACTGGCAGATAAATCTCGATCCCCTTCAACACTAATAATTAAGAACGAAGAAGAAGAAGAAGAAAGACTTGTACTCTATGTATCAAACACAAGTCCCATACACTTTGTTTATCCTGACGTTTATAATGTACCAAATGCTCCAAATATTTGTCGTACCCTGCTCCTTAAGTACCGTGCTTTATCTTATTATACAATAGAAACCCGTCCCCAACACTTTGTCTGTTACTACACGTTGTATTTTGATGCACCAAAAGTTCCAAATCTCTGTGTTAACCTGTGTCTTCCTGCAACAAACGATCTCTCCATATTATCCACTGACACCATCCTACACATCACCATCTCTGTCTGTCAATTTATGCCAGATGTAACCTAATTATAAAAAAAATATCTTTCAAAAAGACACAATTTTCCTAGCGTTTTTCCCGGTTACCACGACGACCCGGAATCTCCCCCCGCATTAATTAGTGTCAGGAAAAGTTCCAGAGTGTGTCCGTGAGACGATCCATCTGTTGCCTCATCATTTTCCCGTGTCAGAATTCCTGCGACACTTCAGTGACAGGGATCCCCATCTAGACTGTCGGCGAGGGATTGCCGCCCCTTTCATACTTGACCCTATCCACTTAAGTCTCCCTCGCTTCCAAAGGGAGATTAGTCATGTACTTTACTCTTTTTATTTTCGCACCAATTATTGGATAGAATGTTCAGATATGATGTAAATATATCTTGCTTTACTGGCTGTACATAGATTTTTTTCAAATCAAGAATTTCTGTTAAAAGCCTTTAATCATTAACAAGTTGTTGAAATACGAATTCTCTTAAAACTTCAAATGCTGAAACTCACACCTCAAAATTATAATAAACAGGGCAAGCATTTATTGAGTACAAAAAAATTATACAAACACATTTTTATTATTTCCTGTAGTTCTGGTATCTGGATGCCCTGCACTAAAACCCAATAACACGATATTTGTGCTACATTAAAAAAAAATGCCTTTCTTTTTTCCTAGTATAAAACGCATTTTATTCTCTTCATTTAAATCACGTAAACAACCACTCCACACTCAACCCCTCACCCTCCCCTCCTCCTCTACTTTCCAGAAGGATTAAACTCCCATAGCACATTGAACAAAATTCAAATCGCGCTCAGATCGTTCGTATATTAAAAAAAGAACATTATTTTTTTCCTTCTGTACACCGTTGTATTATTATAAAAAAAAAAACTCGCTCAGTTGAAAAAAAAACCCCAATCCCCCTAGGGCTGCTGGGATATCATCTTACGCCAGACGACAAATCAGGGCCCGTAATATTTTTGTAAGCGGATATTTCTACCAACATTACAACCAGAAGCCGGTTGTTAAAACCATTTTGAAATATCGCGTTATTAAGTTAAGGCATTGACAAGCTTTTAGCACATTCATGCGAGTTGAAAGCAGTGAAATTGTTAACATTATGCACTGACGCTTTGTGTTTCAGGAAAATTTAAAAAAAGAATTTACAGAAGGTGGAAAAAGATTAATAAAAATATTTTTTAAAAAATAAGCGACATTAATATTAGGTGCGAAATATATTGTATCGCATATTTCGTTTTATTTTTATCAGACATGGATTTTTCTGAAACCAAATGCGGATTTAAAAACGATAGTATCAAATCGATAACATTCAAAACTAAAAAAAAATTATTTTTGTGAATATTTTACGGAGAAGTTTTGTTTCTAGTATATCAAACAGGATCAGTTGTAAT